GTATGTGACTACATCATCCCTCACTATTTCCTAGCACACCAATGAGAAGCTATATCATTGGCTTGGCTTGGAGTTACCAATGAATACATTTCTAGAGGCTACTTAGATTGGCAGTGTACTGATTCTGCAAAACAATAAAACTGAGCCAGACTATATATTTGAAATCCAGTGTCTGGGACCCTGAGTGCTTAGACCCTTAGCTGTCAATCATCTGTCTGTGAGTGTTTTTCCTTACTGACCTCTGAGGGAGACCCTCATTATCTATCATAGAGTCCAGATTTGGAGTCTTTCTTGGCCTACTTAATAGACTATTTCTGCAGAACAAGTATTTCTTTAGTGAAAAATAATGTCAAAGAAAACTACCTCTTAAGGGCAGAGAAAGAGTCTCATCCATCTTTTTATCACCAGCATAAGCTGCTAAGTGTCTGGAAGAGAGAAGAGCTCAAAAAATGTCTGTCAAATCCTAGTGAAAGGAAATATAGGTAACTCATTTCATTGATGGTTGAGACAAACAGCTCCCAGGACCCACCTTTGTTGAGTTCCCTCTATGTACATATTCCCTAATTTCTCATTGAATAAACAACTGTTCTTAGAAAATGAAAGTGCAGGAAGGACTCCATTAAATACTAAAAGTATTAAATATTATCTATTCATTTGATTCTTTCATTTTCTAAACTTCTAGTTCTCTTCCTCGAATATAATTTTATTTATTTATTGCAAGGACACATTTATTTTTTCACTTTTAAGTTTTAATTTGACAGGCTGGCTTTCACATTTTAATATAACTAGGCAGTTTTCTTCGATCTAACAAGCAATGCCCTAAGTAACTTTGACATTTTAAGATACTCTACTGCTGTGAGAAAGGTTACAAAGTTGAATAAACAGAAAATTGCCATTAAGAAATTCAGTTTATTAAAGGAGAGAGACTAGTCAAAATAATTAAAACTTAACAGCCTAACATCCAGAAGTATGAAAGTACATAAGATTAGGAAAATGAAATAATTTGGGAATGATGTATTTTCATCAATAAAATAATTAGTTTATTCATTTTTATGTTGATATTTACCTCTATTATTTTTGAATGATTAATTTCTTAATTAATATTCGTAATATACACTTAGCACTTAATATGTGCCAGGCATTTTTCTAAATTTTTTACATATATAAAAATATTTAATCCTCTCAATAACCTTCCATATAGGTAATAATATTGTTCATATTTTACAGATAAGAAACTGAGGCAGAGGGAAATTAAGTAGCTTCGCAATGTCAAAAAAAATGTTAGTATCAGCAGATTGGCAATTCAAATTTAGCAGACTGGTTCTAGAATCTCAGTTCCTAACTCAGAGACTATCTCTGAGATCAAAACATAAATGTTCTATATCTAAATCTTCTAGGTTACTTATTATAATCATTTGAAAGAAATCTGACCAATCTTGGAAACTCAAGTACTCTCTAGAACACTACCCTTTGTATCCTAGCAGAAGTGAATTTTTTTTCTATGCAGTTCATACCCCCACGCTTCGAGAATAAAAGGTTACTTGTGCCTCTATCATATTCTACAGACCCAGTAAAATGGCACTGCCTTTGTGAATGTGGACTTTCTAATTGTGTGAAACAAGAAGAATGTTGTGTGCAAAAACTTAACAACTGAGTTCTGTATTCTCTTGCCCTTGCTAGAGCAAGTGATTTTAGTTTGGTTCTGGCATAACTTTCTTAGATTGTTTCAAGAAACCAACCAATACACTCTAATACATGCCCAAGCACCATTTATATGAGGTATAATGTCTTATTTATATATTAAATCTGATTTGAACATAAAGATTTTAATGTAATTGATGAGAAGGATTATTGTATAAAATAATTATTTACTATGATGGTCATGGAAAAAGAACTAAGTATATTCATTTGTTTGTTAAGTAAATCTTTAACAGACATCTCTCTATAAATATTGTATATAATATCAAATACAGGAAATAAATAGATCAATTAAAATGTGATCTTACGAAAATGTAAAACTACTCTGAAAATGTACTATGAGCAAAGTCAAATGAAAAACAACAACCTAAGAAAAGTTATTTGAGATATATAGGACTGATAAGATTAATTTTTATAATATACAAAATGATTTAATAAATTAATAAGAAACAATTACAGAAAGCAATTTTTTAAATGACAATGATGTGAGCAGGAAATTCACAGAAAACAAAGTATAAAAGTTAGTAAAATGTTGAAAATCTGATGTCCTCAAGCTCACTCATAATGAAAATATACTTTGCTACAACTGTAGTTGCTTTCTACAATATAATGCACACATGTTGAGAAATATATCTTTATTAGTTGAATGGTAGTTATAAATCCCTTAATGGAAAGGGGACTGGTAAAGACTGATGTTAAATTTCAGCTGAGGATTCCAGAATTAAAACCAATGTCACTAGAGACCACTTCTAAAATGGCTTCCTCTCTATATTCACTATGGGTTAGCACTTATATTCATCAACTATGGACCTCAGGTCTTCCCTTTCTCATATACTTCCAGATCGACGGATGTACTCTATACCTGCTCTAGTCACTACCCTCAGGAACTACAGTGTCCACTACCCAAACATCTGATATTACAGTGCATGCCTTTATTTGCTTAACCTTTCATTAATTCTCCACCTTCTTTCTAATATATTTTATCACAACTTGTTCCATTAACCCATGGATAACTTGGCAGTTGTTACACAGTAACAGTTAAGAACATGGAATCCAGACTTAACCAAATATCTGTTAGGGAACTTACTAGCTATGTAACAGCAAACAAGTTAGGTAATTATTCACAGACAAACTTTCCATGGGATTTCTGCACATCTTATATCATGTTTTGTTCTGCAGTATCTCTTCAAGGATATTAGTAAACCAAAGGGCCTTGGAAGATACAAAGAGTGTCTCCCTCTGTGATGGAAGGCAGATTTGTTTTCTAACCATGACAATGAAGATAAAGTCTCCAGTGTGCCAAAAGTTAGACAGGTTTGCTAGCAGCCTCTTAGAAGATTGGTAGTATCCTAAGCTTAAGGTTCCTCAGCAGGGACATAAACCCAGTGACATATGTAGAATTCACTGGAGCCACTCTATATCACCCCAATGGGACTCAAGAGTCAAATAAGCATACAGCTCCTGCTACCTGCTGTATCATAAGAGATGGCGTCATTTGTCTTTGACCCAGGAGTCTTTTTTCTTCTTTAAGAATCAATGAACCAGGCCTCTCCGGTGGCGCAGTGGTTGAGCACTGGGTTGCAGAGCTGCCCACAGCCTCTGCAGCACCGGTTTGTTCCCCGGCTGCCGGGCGAGGGTCCCACAAGGCGTGCAGACCTCTCCTGCCGCCCGCTGCTCCCCTCAGCAGTGTATTTCATTGGTCTGCCTGTTCTGTTCCCCGCTCTGGCTCTGGTAAATTCTCTCACCCTCCCACACTTCTGACTGTACCCAGTGCTTGTATAAATAAATAAATAAATAAATCTTTAAAAAAAAAATCAATGAACCCACAGCAAGCTAACTTGTTAGCTTACATGAAGGGTAAAATCTCAGACTTTTTACAATTCTTGATAATAACTGCTATGTACCTCAGTTTCCCTACCTGTAAAATGAAGAGAGGGTACCTTCCTTGCAGATTAAGAATGCTAGTTAAATGGAATAATGAGATAATACACACATAATGGGTCTCATTGCTAGACTCTTCAACAGCATGTGATGACTCCTGATTGTCTCCTTGGCAACTCAAATGTCCTGCTCCCAAGCGCAGTCCTCACTGGTGGCTCTGAAGCACGGAAACCATAAATCATTCTCTTCTCAAAAATTCCTAATTTGCAGACTATGACTCTACACTAAACTTGCTTTCTTCCTATATTTTTGTCCTTTTCGAGTTTCTTCCTGAAATGGCACACAAAAAGGAATGAACAAAAAGAGAATCCCTTGCAAATATCCTCAGACAGTCCTAACATGAATTACAATGATTAAAAACACAACAGAAAACTAGTTTTTCTAAAATGGAGGAAGGTAGGGCCTCCCTGGTGGCGCAAAGGGTTGAGACACAACCTATGAAGCTATGTGCAGCCACTGCAGCACAAGTTTGATCCCCAGCCAGGGAGCTACCCACATGGCACAGCAGACCTCTCCTCACTCGCCCGCTGCTCCCCTCAGCAGTGTATTTCAATCAATCTGCCTGTTCTGTTCCCCACTCTGTCTCTGGTGAATCCTCTCACCACCCCCACACCCCTGGCCTATACCCCCAGTTCTTGTATGCATAAATAAATAAGTCTATAAAAAATAAATAAAATAAAATGGAGGAAGGTAAAGTTAGTAATCAGAATAAAGGGGTAGAGTCATGAGATCTTTATCAAAAGGAGTTAAGAGAAGAAACCTATAAAATGTTAAGTCACTCAGTTATATAGAAGGTCACTACTTACCATTCTCAATGTCTAATCATAATAAAATATTTGTAAATAATTACTGGAATGGAGGCAAGGTAAATAGTGGCTATAAACTCTATAGTTAAGTGCCCATTGAAACACAATGTGGAATGAAGGAAAGAAGAAAAAATTTTACCATCAACAGAACTCATAGAACTCCAGTTCCAGCTTTCAATTGTTGAAAGAACTTGGATGAGTTACTTAATCTCACCAAACTTCATTTCACTCACCTCCCTATTGGAGTACAACTATCCATTTCCAAGAGCTGTGGAAGGATTATCTCAATAAACTGTAGCTATAACAAGGACCATTACAGGATTGAAGAATTACTTCCCCAGAAATTAATAAAAAAGGCAGCAGGAACTTCCCCAAAGGATATTTCCTAAAAGGATATAAAATTTTGTGGTGTGGTACTACACTTGCCAAAGACAGCATTAGAAAACTTAAATTCTAACTCTATAAAATCTCCAGATGCAGAAAATTCCTTACTGTCAGACTTATGTAACTCAATGTCTGTCTCAGAAAATCACTTACTTGAATCAATACACTTACCTGTAATAAAAAATCAAAGAGGGCCATCTTGGACCACTCATGATGATGTATTTCAGTGCAACCCCATTCTGGCTTGGGTACTCGACCATTCTGCCAGCACTTATGTTTCAGCAACTGCTGATAAGCTCCCCAGGTGAGCTTAACAGAAGAGTGGGTGTCAGTACTTGTTGGAGATAAAGATGAGTCCCAGAGAATGAGAGGACTTGAGCGGCCATCTACAAAATCAAAAACAAAAAAAAAAAAACAAAAAAAACTCAAGTTTAGTGATTAACCCTGGTCATACACTGAGTTACAATCTCTCTCTCACCTGTCAATGATGAGTCAGTATTTTATGTCCCCTTTGCCTTCTGAAGTTTAATATTTTTAGACCTCAATGATGATGCCACCTGACAGAAGTCATGAAACAGAAAGTTATCATTATAAAATAAAAGTAAAAAAATAAGCAAAACACTTGACAGATGTGGCAGGATTAGGCCACAAACCATCAATAACCACGTCCTCTGGTTCATGTGGTTTTATTCCACATCTAAAAGCTGCCTCCACAAAAAAGGAAAGATCCAGACATTTATAATTGTCTATTCAATGTCTGAGTGGAGCTGCTCTCTATCTGTAATAACAACTGTCTGATTTTCTGAGACCACATTATGATGTCAGGAAGAAAAAGAATTTTTAGAAATCGCAAATTTAAAAGTGCAATTGCCTGGCTCACACCAGTCACTATAATCTCAAAAAAAAAAAAAAGGGTGGGAGAAAGCAAGAGTACTCTTCCTCTTTTGATAGAAACAAAAGCACTCTTGGTAATGGATCATTTACTCACACATAGCTTCACAAGTGCACAAGTGTACTTAAGCAGTATCATTTCTTCAACCGCATCATGCATAGACGATTTTGCAAAAAAATCAGTCATTTGAATTTTGCCTCACTCCTGCTAGATTAGGATTTCATTGCTAAAATGTATAAGGAATGATGAGTCTGAGTGAGGTCACCATAAACAGGGAAGATGTGATTAGGGACAATAAATGACAATTCAAACAGAAAACAGATATCACTCTCAAACCCCAATTTGTGCTAAATCAAGTCACTGAGAGATAATACTGAGAGATCTGCTTTAAAACTCAAAAATCAGAATGATGGTCTTTAAAAAAATGAAATAAGTAACAAAGATCTGAAAAAGTCCACTTAACTCATTCTTAACAGGTCTGGACAATAGAAGCCTCTGAAATTATGACTGGAATGCCCAGGCACGTCACAGGAATTTTTAAAAGCCCTTTTAAAAACCTCAGAGGTTCTCAATCTATAACTGAATTCTTTTATGTAAGACTTTTGTCTTACCACCTTTCATGTCTGCCTTCATGCAAAATGTTTATCTCCGGTCTTTAATGCAGAGAACAGGCATCTTCTCTAACTATTCTTGCATTTGGTGTTACAGTGACCTCCATCATTTTAATAGCATTCACTTAATCATTCTAACCACCTGCATTCCAGTTTTGCTCAAAAGAAAAATCATTCTCCTTTTAGCCTTACAATTTAGGTCAGGGCATGAAGAAAGTCCTTTAGATTGTAGAAATTATAACAGTTATTGGCATGCAATTAAGAGAAAAATAGAACAACATGAATCATAACTGAAGAACTTTTGTTTTTAACATTATTGTATCTCCATTTTATTTTCTTGTACTTTACTAAATGATTTGGTGCTGCTGGGACCTAATTATCATCTTGGATTTAAAATAAATATAATGTTCAATGTGTGTCCTCCAAATACTATGCTAACTTAAAATAATGAATAATAATAAATTCCAGTAAAGACAAGAATCACAAGGAGCCAGGCAACTATAGGTCAGTGGAGCCAAATACACTGTGGAGCCAAGACACAACACAGCCTTCAAAGAAAGACACACACGGTAGACTTCTAAAGATAAACACCAGGAAGCCCTATCTGTCAGTGTCTTTGGACCAAAGCGCTAACAGATAGCACTTTGCATTCTCATGACTAGGACATGTTCAAAGAGAGTTGAAATCTGACACTGAAATTCAACAACACAAATCAACACTGGCGATAGGATAGCACAGCTTCCTTAACAATTCACTGGAGGGCTATAGAGAAATGATCTACATAAACAATTGAAATATTTACAATCTTCTGGGCCGTTTTCTTTTTTTTTAAAGATTTATTTACTTTTATACAAGAACTGGGGTACAGGCCAGAGGTGCAGGAGGGTGAGAGGATTCACCAGAGACAGAGCAGGGAGCAGACCAGGGGACCGAAATACACTGTTGAGGGGAGCAGTGGACAAGACTGGAGATGTCTGCCTCGCCATGTGGGCTGCTCCCTGGCTGGCCCGGAATTCAACCTGCTCTGCAGAGGCTGCGGACTGCTTCCCAGCACTGCGCTCAACCCGCTGCGTCACCAGGGAGGCCCTGTTTTCCTTGTTTTTACAAACATTTGTTTCTTGTTGAATTTAAAGTTAATTTAAAGTAAATCCACTTATTTTAGAAAAATTTGGGGAAAACAATAAACTATATTGCTAAGAAAGCAACGATCATCTATAACTTTATAACCCCAATGGTTCTGTTTTATGAATATTTACCATAGACATTTTCCAACCCCTTTCTCATGAGAAAATGTAAATTGTTTTTACGGATTTAAGGAGCAGAGCTAATGGTTATTGCTTGGACTCAAATCCAAGAGGCCTCTTGAATTCTGCCCACAATACTTTCTCTGCTTTGGAACAATGGACAAGTTATCCCACCTCTCTAAATTTTGCTCTCAGCTTCTGTAAAATGGAGGCAAATACACACCTTCCAAAACAGATTTTGTTAGGATTAAATGGGATAGTGCACTTAAAGTTCTAGCACGTTGCATAACATACATGCATATGTCAGAAAAGTTTTGCTCTATTACATACATATATAGTGCAATCATAATTCCTGTCTTCAGCAGCCTGTATTTATTGAGCATTTCCTATGTGTCAAGCATTGTTTGAACCTGAAGCTAAGTAAATTAACAAATGCCATTTTTTTGGTTTTGTTTTCAAGGAGTTTACATTCTTACCAAGGCCAAAAGGCAAAAATTAAACAAAGAAAATAAACTACTTGGGGATTATCTTGTATATGCAATTTGTCAGAATTATTTCACTATTACATCATAATTTCTCTAACAGTTTAATATTTTTAAGTAACAGCACTTTACCAATGATATACTAATCTACTCAGTGGTCACCAAACTTTGTTACAGGCAGATAATAAATGTCTCAGACTTCTTGAGGGCCATCTGGTCTCCCTCACAACTCTCCAGCTACGCAAGTATTCAACTATGTTATAACCTGTGAGCAAAGACAATATACAAACAAATGGCCATGATGTGTCCCAATAAAACTTTATTATAGACACTAACATGTGCTTTTCACATCATTTTCAAGTGTCATAGTAATATAATTATCCTTTCCAATTTTTTCCAGCCTTTTAAAATTCAGAGCATCCATCTGAAGCTCCAAGGATCTAGTGTTTCAACCCCTGGTATGGTTTATGAATATATTGCATCTCATTCACCATCTCTCTGCTATAGACCATCAAATTGTTCAATGACACAATTTTGAAACTACTATTTTAACAGGTATTCTCAAACTGCCACAAAGAAAGCTTTGAACTCATACGACTGATTGATTTTAAAGTGCCACATTTTAAATGCCCCTGTCTACATCCATTCATGTCCCCAAAGCAAAATATTTTGAATGCTGACTATCAAATAAAAACTTCCATCCTGGGCCTCCTGGTGGCACAAGGGGTTAAGACGCAACCTATGAAACTACCCCCAACCACTGTAGCATGAGTTCGATCCCCGGCCAGGGAGGTATCCACATGGCGCAGCAGACCTCTCCTATCTCACCCGCTGCTCCCCTCGGCAGTGTATTTCAGTCAATCTGCCTGTTCTGTTCCCCACTCTGTCTCTGGTGAATCCTCTCACCTCCCCCCAACACCTCTGGCCTGTACCCCAGTTCTTGTACGCATAATAAAATAAATCTTTAAAAAAAAAAAAAAAAAAAACAAATTTCCATCCTGTCCTATAGAAATCAAAGCACCTCAGGGAAGGAGGATTTCCAGAAAAGAAGAGGCAAGCAGAGTGAGCAGCAATTCTCACACTCGGCTATAGGAGGCGGGGTTCTTTTCATGCTCGAGGTCTTCCTGCAGTATATCTACAGCCTTAACATCATAGTAGTTGTCAGAAAGATTCCAGATCTCAGAATCATGAAGACACTGTGGGAAGAATCCTTCTTTTTCTGAAATGTGGCTTTGAAAACAATTAAATGAACTCTGACAGATTTGAGGGGATAACCGGAAAACTGCCTCTGAAAACAGGAAATGCTGAAGCAACTTAACCCTGAAGTGTTTCAGATAAAGAACATTTATCTCTTCACATTCAGGTTTGTCAAAATGATGCAGTACTGTACTCTCTGGAGAAATCTTAACAGTGAAGAGATAAAATCCTGTTAAAGTGGTGAGAAAGCAGGTTTTAGAAGATATGTGGGTGTTCATGTGAACTAAAGGTTATGCAGCTGTCTTTAAAAATGAGATTTGCCAGCAAAACTTACTTTTTCCAAAATCTGAGTATTTCCTCTGAATTGTGATGTTCTCCTAAGTTGTTCTTTATTCAAAAATGCAGAGAAGACATTCTTTTGAGGAGGTGAATGTGAAAATTCACTAAAAATGAATGTTAGACACAATCTCCTTTGCCTAGACTTATTAAATGTCCTTCACTTTGAATGCTGGATGACTTGTTTTGTAGATAGCTGTGTCTGTCAGTATTTGATGCTGAGCAAAAATAAGTTAAAATACGCTGAGTTCTGATATCAGAAGTCCTACATGGGCCAAGTTCAAGATAAGACAAACAAGACAAAAAGCAAAATAACAGTGCAGCTCAGAGCCTTTCCTCTAAAACAACTCTACAAAATCCATCGAAGAAAATAATGGCCAGTCAAAACTTGAGGTGCGTCTTTTCTCACAGGAAACAAATTCTGTTGGGTTCCATCACAACTGTTGATAATGCACTGAATGAAAGCCTTGGGGCTACAGATCTGTAGTGGCTAAGTCAACTGTTAATTATCAATGTGGTTCCAATGAGAGTTTAGCACGTATCTAGTTGTTCATGAGCCCATAGCTACTCTCTGCTCTATTTTTCTACAGTGCCTATAGTTTTACGGTTTTGCACATGAAACAT